CCGGTGTACGTAGGATCTGTAAAAGACCTGATCAGCCAAACATAGAAACATAATAATGAAGCAACGCTGATTACCACGTAGAAAGCTTAACGGGACAACGACATGATAGAGTCACATTGTGTTGAACATTGAGGTCCGTTCATCGCGTTGCGCGAGTCAGTGAAGCTGAAGAACAGCAAAACTAAGCTAATCTCGATTATTTTCCAAAGCTTTGGAAAACCCTCTCTCTATTCCAAAATTTTCATTACTGGCAGGCCGTTTCTGGCGAGTTTTTGTAAGACACGCGAAGAATAACTATTTTTCACCTAGCGCCTTTGCCGTACTGGATAACTGGCGTGGGCTCTTTCATCGATCTACTGATGTTCAGTAAAGTTAATTCTACTTCACGTGTTCACAAGTTGAGCTGTTTACTATGACGGTCACAAATCTGACATTTGGACTCCAGAGTCTTGAATCTAGTATCGAGGGAAATCAACTGTGACTTGTTTTATGTTAACAGGAATGTGACCCTTGAGTTGTGCTTGTGTTGCCTTTCTTCCTCACTGTAATAAATGGCACTTATGTTCAGGTTTCCCTCTTCCTGCTGTGGACTCACTCCCATCTCTCGCCTGGTCATGGCGTCGTTGTTCGTGGACCTGCTGTGATCATCTGTCTCAGATTCACGTGGCTTGGAATTTTCCAATCTGGAAGGAAAAAAAGTTTTAACCGATTTTCTTGCCAGTCGAGTAGTGATCTGTTGGCAATTAAACTCAGTTATGCGGTGTCGACCTGACAGCACTTAAAGTCTCTCATACTTATCAGAGAAAAAGGGTTTTCTACAGGTTAATGTTTTAAATAAAAAAAGCGTGATAAGGTACCACACCTTTCAATGAACTTCACACAGTCCATGTGACCATAAATCTGAGCAACTCTTTTGGGCGTATCTCCAGTATTGTCTTTTTTCGTCACACTTGCCCCATTATCGACAAGAACCTGCAGTATTTCCACACTGCCGTTTTCAGCGGCACAGTGCGCGGGCGTCCAACCTCCTGCCATGCGCATCTCACCGTCTGCGCCATGCTCCAGAAGCTTCTCAACGCATGCCACGTGACCTTGATTTTAATAATAGAAACGAATTTTAAAAGGGAGTACTGGAGCAGATTTGCTCATAGAAAGCAGGCAGTTGTGTTTTAGGTTTGTATGGATTTGTCTGTAAATTTGCTTTCCGATTTTCACTTGGGCTGATGAACAAGGAATGCAATTAACATTGTCGCTTTACTGTTACCAGTCTTTTCCTACCTGCCGCGGCAGCCACGTGCAAAGGCGTTCTCTTGCCCCAGTCCCAGTCCTCTCCGTCTGGATCCGACTCGTCGCTCAGAAGCAGGTATTCACAGGCCTGGGCATCACCAATAGCCGCGGCCTCATGCAGAGCCGTCATCCGTAACGTCACGTTAACTACAGATCCTGCAAATGGAAATGTTTCAATGGAGGGCTCCTTTCTCTCTAAATCACAATGTTCTTGGACTTATCTGACAGATTCTCATTGGTCATTTCCTCAGTAGCGGCGGATGACGCTGTTTGTTACAAAATGTTATTACAAACTGAAATTTGTGGATCTTTATATGCTTGATTGCTAGAATGAACTAGACGAAGAGTGACAGCGGTCAGTTTAAATTTGGGCCGTTTCTGGTAGCCTCTTTTATTGGAATCCGCACCAAAGCCAGACTCAATCTGTGGTTTTCCGCAAACTACTTATTTATATTATTCAGATTACCGTTACAAAGTTCGGGTAGTTATCGCATTAGGTGTTAGATTATAATCACCGACAGGTGATTGGCGTGTTTAGTTTATAGCAACAAAATGTCCCTCGCAATGCCTGACAACAAATTAAGTCCTACACAGAACAGAACACCTACAATCTTAGTATAAAATTCCCTTTTAACCTCTCATTGACGAATCTGAGGGACGTTCATCAGAAAAAAAGTCGGTTTTCCCCTTAATAGGGTCTAACAACATCTTGAATTTTAACTTCTCGTTTTGAGATCTTTAATAGGTCCTTCAGTTTCAATAATGGATAAAAAAAAAAACATATTTTGTCGGTACATCTAAAAGTTGAAACTTTGTAGCGGACTGTAAAACTAGCACACTGAGTGAATAATGAATTTGTTGATAAGTCCACTTGACGTTAATGGCTGGTGACCCTCACAACTGACGATTAACTCTACTATCGCGGGAAAGTTTATCTTTTCTCTTGGACTAGTAGATAGTATATCAAAAGGTGCCCGCAACATTTTGTAAATTTGCAATAGTAGTTATACGTCCTAAGCATAAAAATACTGAGGACCCATTTGTACCGGTGCCAGAACGTAAACAAGGACCTAAGTTCACAAGCGGTGGACTGATCTTGTAGTACGAAGTTGTCAGTGAAATCAAACAAGGTACTGGCAAACAAAAAAGCTTTACCTTGCAGCAAGGATAGTGAAGTAATGGAAGCTGAAACAAACGACATACGGGCTTGTAACATGCGCTTTGCCCTCACGCAATAATAATGCCAGTTAAAGTACTCTGTGAACTGTCTGAACTGGTATTCATATTACACGGACAAGCTTGTGTATTTTATTAGATTCAGTTTGATTCGTTCTTGACTGTTGACTGGAGTTAATTAAGCCAATTGTAAATTTCACGAAGGAACACAAATTGTGAGAATTATTCCGTAAAATTCGAGAATCTGGGACCGGAAGATGTAAAAACCAGACATAATTTTGTACAAAAGAACCTTAGTCATTTTCCATAATTCACTCTATTAACCATTCAGGAATACTTTTCTTTAATCTTGGCAGAGCTCGTCATTGAAATTCTAAAAAGAAAATTGTTTCATCTCAATGGCAGATTCAAGACTTACCTTTTATTATTGCAGAGCTATTGAACCGCTTGAAGAATCTCTTCTAATCTTTCTACAATATTCAGACGGATTTTCATCCCGCCTCTTTGTTATAAAAGCTAAAGGCCAAAGACTATATGATTTCCTCGTTGGGCGTCCTTAAAAATGCCAATATGTATTTTCCATTGAACTCCGACTTACGATTCACGCTGAACAAAGTGAAAAACTAAAGGACATTTTGCATATTAGTGCGACAAAGGCGCGACGCTTTTTAAATTAATACACGGTAAGTTGCTTTCTGCCGTGTCAACATTATAGAAATCAACATGAAGAAGGCGATATTAACATATGAATCTCCAGCTCCGTTGCCAAGGCAGAGTGCACCTGCCGAAAATAAGTTATTCACATAAATTAAATCACGTTGAGGTGATCGGCCGATAGAGGCCCCCGGTCCACACTACGCCAGAGAGATTTGAAAACGCAGCCTTACTGCTACGGTTAGGGCTACCGTCCACACTAATCCGTCTCGAAAATGGAACTTTTCGAAAACGCTCTTCAAACCGGAGGAATTTGAAAACGCCGGCTTTGCGTTTTAGCACGTGGACGGACAACATTTTGACTGAAAACGGAGCTTTTCGGAAACGATGACGTTTATACGATAATCTTGTGATTTACCTGCCCGAGTTTTCATCAAACACAAATCACAAATGTTGCGTTTTCAGATTTCTCATTTGATACGTTTTAGGTGTGAAACCTCCGTTTCAAATTCCTCCGGCGTGTAATAGACTTCGATGAAAAGGAAACTCTCCCTGAAAGTATTTATGATATATACATTGTTGCAGCTTCATACCTGCTGTTATCGGTTCGTGATACTTCAGATGATTTCTAAATGACCTTACACTTTGAGAAGTCAGTGTTAAAAGGAGATTTTCGAAGTTGGTCATCAGTCTTGCAAACTAATACAGGGTTTACTTACGGAGATAACAGAAGAGGAAAATGAGGTCCCGTAATCAGTATTGTCCATTCATTTCCATGGCTGGATATTCACTTCACATCCAACGAAGCCATTGGCAACATAGGATAGGGTGCACGAGTCCAGAATATGGTGATTGCTTAGTAAAGGGGTTAATCTGTCCTTCTCAGACAGTTAATTCGCGTAACAGTGGAGCATAATCTGTCTGCCCTTAATACACGATAACACGTCTAAAGCCCTGTCCAAACGTGAAATGTTTGGTGACCAAACACGATCAAACATTGTTTGATGACCAAACATTTTCCCGTTTGGACACCTTGTTTGATCGTGTTTGATAAAATTTGAACGTCGACAAACATTCTGATAAGACATTTTGCTCGTTTGGACGGTGATCAAACGTGTTTGATACCGTTTGGCCACTCTATACAACATCAACATGTTGGGTCACCAAACAATGTTTGCTCGCGTTTGATAGCCAAGCATTTCCCGTTGGACAGGGCTTGCAAGACGCCTACCAGACCGTTTACTCGTCTGAGACGGATAACAGAAAGCGCATGTTGATCTTCCTCAGACATTAACTTGGTTTGGATTCTGCCAAGGAAGTGACCTGTCTCTGTAAGAATCCCTTTACAAGACGAGAGTTTATTTTCATACTACTCATTTTCAATGTACAAAAGAGGTAAAAAATGATTACTAATAATTATCTTCTATAACTGAAACAGTTACAAGTATCACACAGTGGTGTAACTTAAAAAATGCAAGGGAAATATCTAAAGAGAGACAACAATGTGTCTTTTGGCATTCCTTGTAACAAACAGCTCACAACTTTCCTGTTAATCTGTATTTTCCTTTTCAGATTTTTATATTAGGGTGATTAAAAGAAATATTCCATGGTACAATTAATCACAAAGCATACCTGACAAATAAGTTGGTTTTTTGTCCGAGATAAATAAAGCTGCTTAGGAATCATTTATAGGACCTAACACTATATATAATATAAAAAACAATTTTCCAAGCTGAGCTGCCTTATTTGACATATCATGTTGATTGACGTGTGAGATCTAAAAACATTTTTT